GAGCTAATATTTGCAAAAAATAACAAAGTTTACCAGTTCGAACGTTAGGTATGTGGTCTTTGCAGTGTGTTCAATTGAATATAGGTTGAAAATGATTTGCAAGTCATTGTATTCTGTTTTTATTTACAATTTACACAACGTGCCAACTTTTCTGGTTTTGGGGTTTGTACATTCATCACCTAYTTTAATGTTGATATAAATGTTTGTGAGGGTTCAAATGTTTGGAAAAAGTAGTTCAGTGTTGCTCACAACTTGGAGCAGCTTTAGGTCACTTTTCTACAAAAGCTTTTTTGGTTTTGACTTGTTCATTCAAGACAAAGGACTAAAAACTGGATTAAAACTTGTACCTGTTCTGACTGAGCCCCTCTGTCCCAACGTTCCACTAATAGATTATTTGTGGATTATTCACATGTAGACATTAAAAGCTGCTGATCTTTGTCACGGTGAATACCGGTAAAGATATTAAAATCTAACCTGTGGTCATTTCTCTCTGCAGCTTGACCTTGCTGCTGGACTGGAGGAGAACCAGGACCTGCAGCAGCAGCGCCTTCAGCCTCGGAGGACGACGTCGATCCATCGCTCCCACTCAGACACACACACCCGCTCAGCTCTGACGTGTGAGCTCACTCTGCCCTGAAACTTTCACACCAAACTCCTAAATGCAGGCTGAGAGAGGGCGGGGACCAGGTTTCTGTGCACCAATAAGAGAGCGGATGTAAGCAACAGCAGTTTCACCAAACTTCATTTAAAAGCCACAGACTTTTACAGATCAAAACTTAGTTTTATTAGAGAATGAGACGTTTTCCTTCTTTATCAGAGCTGCTATCTATTCTATACATTTATTTTCTGAGTCATATGACGTGACCATGCATTGATGAGAATTGTTTTGAACTTAAAAAGTGGGAAAGAAACTGATGTGTGGTGAGACTCTCTCTGATTATTGAGCTGATATAAGGCTGCAGAAATAGATGCAGAGAATGCTGAAGCTAACCTGATCACACAACAAAARCATGCCGCACAACCAACCTTTCACTGCGGCCAGGATGTTTTTCATTCTTTCAGCTGAATAAAATGAACAAAATGATGACCAATGTAACAAGCACTGATCACTAAAATAAGGTGGAAGAAAAAAAAACTCCAATACTCCCAAAATTGAATCATCTCTGTTGTAAATTTTAACATTGCCTATTATAATCAGCTCTGTCTGTTAGCAAAATATCTCATGAATCGCAGGACAAATTTTATTGAAGCTTTCAGGAAGTAATGAGTGGATGTACCTCCACAACTGATTAAGATGTGAAGCTAGTCCAATTCAAGATGGCCGCCGCAGCATATCTGAATCAGCAAACACTACAATGGCTACAACTCTGTGAATTTTTAAGGTTTTAAGCTAAAATTTGGTGCGTTAGTAGCTGAGAGTTATTCTCAAGACATACTTCGAGCGATGACTTAATTTCTCATCTTCAGATGATCTAAATCCAAACTTTGCGATGCAAGGCAGCGGGTGATATGCATCCTTTAATCGCAATGATTAGAGCTGACCAAAGCTATTTTTACAAGTCTGTACCCCTCATTGACTCCCATTTTTGTCAGGTGCATCAACACTCAACTCGATGATGATGTAACTTTCTGATTTTGAAGCCAGAAGCTGCAAAACGGTTAGTGTGCGACGTGAAAGTGTTTTGGCAACGCACCGTGCGCCGACAGAAGATCGACTGAGTGACGCTGTTGGTGAAGTTGTGATTCTGCAGCAGATAAAGGTTGACAGTGAGGCTCACAGTTTCCTTTTACAGTTTGATTCTTCAGCCCGCCCTGCAGCTCGTGCTGTCTGGTCGAACACGGGCCGTACGTTAAAACTTTGTCACGTGAACTTTTTTTGCAGCAAGTCAAAACAAATGCTCCTGTGGTTCAAACTGAAAGAACGTCTTCAGTCTTTAAAACCACAACACGCTATCAGGTGTGTATGTTTTATAATGGTTACGTTTGGGTATTTATATCTTATCTCTTTGCTTTCAGGATGTTTCGTGTTACCATGCAGCACATCTGAGGCCTATTTTTTGTTTATGAAACCTGAGTGACCTTCTGTCCTCGTGTGAGAAGTTGGCGTGAACCCGAGCTGAAAACGTGCCAAACGTCTTGCGAGATGGAAATATTTAAGTTGCGCAAGACGAGCAATCCTGATCAGGAGCGCGTTGCAGGTCCGCAGCATCTGATAGGACCGCTCTCTCAGGCCTTTTTGTAACTCTGATAAAACTTGTTCCTTTTTTGATGGTACATGTTGCGTAAAGGAGGATCATGCAGTCAGGCTGATAAAAGATGGTCGGGTTTGATTTTAAAGGAACATCTGCSAGATAAGACTTTGTTTGTGGAGGGGGGGAAAAAAAGACCAAATGTACAAGATTAATAATTTATTAGAAAGTTCAACGAGARACAAGCAGATCTGCTTCAAGAATTGTGCAGTTTTTCTTGACTTTTTAATATCTCAGTGACAGATGAATCRCTATAATACTTTTTGCTTTATTTAAAATATTTAAAAATAAATATAGCAAAACATTACAAGACCTATAAAGTAAGTTGTTACAGCTTGGTAAAAAGTGTCATAAAACATGGCTTTGCGGCCTATTATGGGTATAACTTTAGCTCGAGCTTCCTGTTTAGTCAGAGATGTTGAGCACTTGCGGCACATCCGGATGGGTCACTCACAGGCCAGTTTGCCATCAAAGGATGAGAGGGTGATGGCGAAGGCTTGCAGGGCACACAGGGGAAAACTGTAGTCCATGGAGAAGACGTCCTCCGCCACACGGCCAAACTGCATGACGATGTAATCGCCTGCAAGCGACATTTGGAGCTCAGCGAAGGTGTCGGGGCTACAAAATAAGAGTCTTATGATTTGTAGGGAAAATGAGACGCCTCACCATTGTCAGGGTGGATGATCTGGAAGTTTTTCACCGAGGCCTGCGTGACACGGCCGTGGAAGTTCAGCACGTACGACTGRGTCTGTTCGTTAAAGCTGGGGAACTTGTTCACCAGGGTCACCAGCTTCTCCGTGTTGCCGCTGGCGTGGCGGGCCAGCAGGGTCTCAAGCTCCTGAAATATAAGGCAAAAACAGTTCAGCTAAAATAAGTGGTGTTTACAGATTTGATGTCCAGTTTATGTTTCAAGGGATCCCTGATTAGTTGYAACATTAGACTTTATYTGRTAAACGTATRTTTTAACTGTAAAATAAAGWCTGTAAAAATACTGTAGGCTGTTTAGTTTTGTAAATTTAAAAAATATATATTTTAACACGGACGGAGCCATTTTATTTACACGCAAAGCATTGTGGGTAAATGATGACGTAGATAGGTCCTCGGTGCGAGGCTGCTAACGAGCTATATCTACCCTGAAGGTTAATCTTGGACAATATCTGATGATCGACTCTTTTAAATGAAACCAGAGAGAAGAAGGTAGAAACGACTCAGTCTACAACTGAAAATATAGATGGAGGAAAACAGAGCTGCTTCATGGAAGAAGAACCTCAGCTTAGCCTGTTAGCCTTTGTGCTAGCGCCAACGCTTTATTGCCTTATATGTATTAGCTCGTCTCTAGCACGACAAACAAGCTAAACTGAGGTCCTCCATCCATATTTTCAGTTGCAGACAGAGTCATTTTTGTGTTCCCCTCTCTGTCATGTGTAGCGTTGAGCTAATACATATATATGGTGATAGCGTCAGGGCTAAGGCTAAAGCTAACAGGCTAAGCTGAGGTTCTTCTTCCATGAAGCAGCTCTGTTGTCCATCCATATTTTCAGTTGTAGCCTGAATCGTTTCTACCTTCTCCTCTCTGGTTTCATTTAAAAGAGTCGATCATCAGATATTGTCCAAGATTAACCTTCAGGGTGGATATAGCTCGTTAGCAGCCTCGCACCGAGGACCTATCTACGTCATCATTTACCCACAATGCTTTGCGTGTAAATAAAATGGCTCCGTCCGTGTTAAAATA